AGGTAAATTTCTTTTTTTAAATTTAATAAAGACAATTTAGTCTTCTCACAAACTTACGGTGAAAATATATTTTTGCCGCGCATATCCTTAACTGTCAGTCAATGTAAAGACATTCAGTCATGCATGCTTAGGGAAGAGTGGGGTAATGGCGAACGCGGGGTAACTCTGAACATTGTAGAAAAAAAAGTTATACAATTTCTTTTAACCTGCTCAGAGGGGATCTCATCCTCAGTTCCAGACATGCAGTAGTGTAATGAAGCTGTGGATGTAGTTCACTATAATTTGATTTTAACTTTTTGTCATAATTTTATGCAACTTTTTTCTTGAGTAACATTCTATTGTAACTTCTATGGGTATAAAACCACTCTTTTTTTTTTGTTGTTGTTGCATAGTATAAATGCTAATTGTAAAAACTAAGTGCAAAAATTATAATTTTTGCACTTAGTTTTTACAATTAGCATTTTATTCGTGTTCGGAATTACCCCACGTATGTAGGGTAATTCCAAACACCAATGGTTTTATTTTTGCCTGAAATTTTTATTTTATAATAAGGTTTATAAAAATTTCTTTTGAGGGTTTGTGACTGAATAGTTAAACGAATTAATATGTAATAAATATGATCAATTTTGTATAACTGATGTCTTTAATTTGCATTCCCGCTTAGATGTTTGCCAATACCCCACTCTCCCCTATTACCCATCTCTTGTCTCTAATGGTCAGTTAATGAATGTATAGTTTTGAATTTATATGATGAACAAAATAATATAACTTTAATTTACTAAATCATATATATTAGTAATATTTGAAAAATTGAACAAATAGTAATAAAGTATTTATTAGAATGTTAAAAAGCAGGCTGTGTTTTAACAATTTTTTATGAGAGAAAGCAAAGTGTGATTAACTTGGCAGCATATTTTACTACAACCAAACAACAGTACTGATCATTGTGGACTGAATCAATGGTGGACAATACCAGCAAGCATTTTTCTTGCAAGTTATTAGATGTTTTGGCAGAGGAAAAGCAAGATCAGCAACTTTATTAATTTACTTGGTCTGACTGCTGCGTCCCTCAAAATCGAAACAGTATAATATCAAATAGGTGTTACTTTACGAAATACTTTCTAGTCTTTTATATTACTACAAACATTTATGTTACTACAAAAAACTTACTTTCTAGTCATTTAAGTTTCCAGAAAGTGGATCATGCGCATAATTAAATTTAACAGCTCACAAGGGCAGCTAGTTTTTATGGTCCACGTAAATTGATTAGTATCTTTAAACAAGTTAACGAAAAAAGTCTTAATCATTTTTAGTTAGCACCATCAGGTGTTACAAAAATTGTTTCAAAATGGCATAAGTCAAAAAAGAAGTCATTTCAGGCATAAAATAAATATAGTTTTTTTGAATAATATTATGGCGTCAGTTAAAATTTTGACCAAAATGGTCTCCAAGTTCTCCTGTTTTTATTCATTATACTTTCACCTTTAAATTTTCTGTTCCTATTTGAAGGAGATTTTTTTATTTGCGTTTCATATCTGTAAGTTTTTTGTTTTTTTCTTCGCTTTATTTATGAATCTCTTTGCCGCAAAGAACAGTATTAAAATCTTTTATCATATTCTAGTTATACGATATTTATATATGCTGAATTTGATAAAGAAGGCTGCTTATAAACTTTTTGTTTTAAAAGACTTTATTATTACCAATATTTTATTCAAATAAATCAACAAAACTTCATGGACTAATGTTAAACAGCAAAGCTGTTTAACTTTAAGTTATTTATCCATAATTAAAATGAACCCATGACTTCAAATTTAATGAAAAAACCTAACAGAAAAAGAGCCAACAATAGCCCATTAACTTCAAGAGCTTTGACTGTTAAACGAAAGATTCATACTTTAACAATTTAAGGCTGTATTATTTTTTGTATGTGTTTCTCTAGTATCATGATTACTAACAAGTGGTTCTTCACCTATAAATTGACCGAATGCGATGAAAGGTTTTTAAGCTTCTAAGCTATAATGTTATGGTTACTAAATCTAATATAACGGTAGAATCTTGTTAGATAATATAATAATTACCGTTTATAATACTATTGTTTCAGTTACAGAATTAAAAAGCAGTTAACTACATCAATCGCGAAATTTTAAACCAGCTAAAATGTTTCTAACTACGGTTATAAGAGCAGTTAGAACCTTGTCATAGTGAAGATATGGCTATTTTACTATGACAAGGTTCTAATTACATTTTGGGGCAACTTATTTCGCAATGAAAAGTGAAATAGTTTTTAGTTGCAAACAGTGATACTAAAGGCAAATACTTATGTTATCATCGATGAAAATATTATCAATTGATACTAATAAATTTTTATGGTAAAAACATAACATATTTTGACTTCGGTTTACTTAAAACTACTCACGAAACAGTTAGAACCTTTTCAAATCAACGTAGCAGTATAGCCAATTACACATTAGAAGATTTAACTTAGCCAGTTGCATTCGTTAAAACTTTTGCAACTAAGCACATTAAACAGTAACTAAGCGCATTAAACATTTAACGTTGATATTTGGACTAGTTAGTTTAAAGGCGAAAGAATAAGCGAATTATTCATTTTAGTATTTTAAAAATGGTTTGCCTATGTTGTGTAACAAATTGCAATAGTAACTATAATCCTCAGAATAGAGTTAAAACATTTTGACCAAAAAACATTTAAAAACGAAAACGTTGGACTGCTATAATACCAAAAGATAATATTCATAATACTAATAACACCGCAGTATGTGAAAGACATTAGCCAAAAGGTTTTTAACTGTTAGTGATTATGGGAAGCTGAGACCTAGTGATTCTTCATTAGTTTTTGATTGCATAGAGCCAATTTTAGTCCAAACTGTACCCTTGTCATTTAAAAAAACATTAAAATATCTTATAAATATATGGAAAAAAAAATTAATAAGTAAGTAAAATCTTAAATAGGTTAGTAAAGTGGTGAAAAGCATAATGGTTCTATATATTGCAAAACTTAACTTATTACAGATATTAACTTTTATGTATAAATGTAAGAACAATCTACTACCAAGCCTTTATTTCAGATATTTTCTTGATATCATTTTCTAAAAAATTAATCTGCGTTCAAATACCAGGTACAACTATTACCGAGGAAAAATTAAATCACTCCATTCAAGTTTTCTAATTATAAAACCGTGGTACATCAGTATAGAATCATTTCAAAAATAAAAATATTAAAGACCTAAAATGAATTTCATCGTTTAAACGGCAAACTAAAATGCATCTTCTTAATTCCTGACATATATACCAATTCTTACAATAACAATTCTTTAAATAATTAATTGCTTTGCATGCATGGTTTTGCAGGCTTTGCAATTTTAGCATTTTTTTTATTGGTGCTAGCTCATACAATATTTGCGTAGAAAAGCTGACTATGTACAAAATTAAAGTAAAGCATGCAACGTGATTTACTAATAAGAAATTATCTCAACTTAATATTGAGAAAGTATCTCGACTTAAAACACCTATTTATGATTTCTTGATGACAAATTTTCATTAAAAATTACTGCGAAAAATTTTTATATTTTTTTACGTTTAATTTTGTTTTTAATAAAAAGCAGTTTAGGCAGCTTTAACGGAAGATTAATTGATTGTTGTTTTTTTTATGAAAAAGAGTAAAGATTGTTTTTTCACAACTTAGAGATAATTTATTTGTTATGAACTAGAGGTTGAAATTTTCGAGTTCATTGTTCATAGTTTCAAACATAGTCTTTGCTTCAGGATTATTAAAAAATAAATTTGTATCGTCAGCTTACATAATTGTAGATATTTGTTAGGTAGCTTTATGCATATTGTTATTATGTATTAAAAAAAAACTATTGGACCTATTATTGAATCCTGAGATTGAACCACACGAGGGCTTCTGACTTTTCTGGTAATACAAGTTACTTTCTGTTAGACAAATAGCTTTGAATCCACTTCAATGTTGAGCTTATTTTACCGTAATATTTTAGATTGGAATGTAAAATACTGTGATTAACTGTATCAAAGGCCTTCATAAGATCAACTAGGCTAGGCTCCCCCACATCCTCAATTGAAGGAAAAGGGGGCCAACAAACTTAGGGGCTCATTTGCAAATTTAGGCGCCATTTTGCGACTATAAGGAATTAATATTTTTTTTGAGTGATACTAATTGTTAAATTTTTATAATTTTGGGGTCCTCACGACAGGTTTTGGACGGGGGATCGGACCCAGTAACCACGGTATTGCCTACTAGGGTATTCACTAAAAATTAATATTATATCATTTCAGTAATAAAAAGTTTATCTGAACCCAAGCTGTTGTTTTTATTAAATTTTGAAGCAAAACGATATATTTTGGAATATGCTTTAATTTTACAACAGGTTCAGTGTATTATTTAACAATACAACCAATGTCTTAACGATACAAACAATGTATTAACAATAAAACCAATGTCTTAACGATACAAACAATGTATTAACAATACAACCAATGTCTTAACGATACAAACAATGTATTAACAATACAACCAATGTCTTAACAATACAAACAATGTATTAACAATACAACCAATGTATTAACGATACAATCAATGTATTAACGTTACAACCAATGTATTAACAATACAACTAATGTATTAACAGTACAACTATTATGTATTACTAATACAATCAATTTTAGTGTTAGGTTTAATGAATGTTTTGTTTTCTGACGAAATTTTATACTTATTTTTTTAGTTTGCATTTTTTATTATTTCACAATATTTTTCTGTAGTTCAGTAAAAAAAACTGAAAATAAAATCTAAAACAATTTACAGTTTAGTAATAACTTAATACCGATGTTTTTTCTTGTATATATTATATTATCTTTTAGACAAAAACTAAAATGAGTTGAATATAATTTTCTGCGTTTTATTTTATTTATTATTTTTTATTTTTTGTCTTTTTTTGACTTTTCTGCGTTTTTTTTGCTTTTAGTCTTTATCAAACGTGCTCTTGAAAAAACGTAACGCTCTATCATTCTTAAGAAACAAACGAGCTAGTCCCTCAGATCAAATAAGAAGTGAGTGCTGCGGTAAAACCAGATGTGATTTTGAAGAGAGGGCGGAAATTTCTGAAGTTGTTGGTTGGAGTGGAGTTAATGCTGCTATCTGTGAAGTTTCAATTAGGTAAACACTTTTATGATGTAACTTTATGTTTGTGCGTCTTTTGTTTTTTATGATGGCATAGGGAAAAATGGGTCTGGTTAGTATCAAGGATAACTTGATGATTTTATTTAACATTAAAGTCTTCCCTCAGAAAAGCCAGAAATTACTCGAAACCATCCTAATTTACCATTTCATGCTGCACAGCAGCATTGTAAAGTTTTGCATAAGTGCATATCATATAAAGTGTTATGACCAAAAAACACTTTTAGAGCATCGCTTTCTTTTTACTTTATTAAAAATAAGTTTTTCTTATAAAAAAAAAAAAAAAAAATTTCTAGCTCTTCAATATTGCAACTTGTCAGTATGCCATCATGGGAAGAAGTCGTCATTTTCATTAAAACAAGCTATCTGCCTTGTTGAAAAGATAAAATTAAAGTAAGTATTCCACTAAATGCACAAAATATGGAAATAAAATGCATGAAAATTTAATTTCTGCACAGTCAATAATAAAATCACAATCTTAATTATATGAAAGGAATAAAACTACAACAGCACATTCCAAAGTTGATTTTTGTTGATTATAAAAACAGTACTTGTGCTCAAAGGATAAAGTCAGTCAAAATTTAAAATCAGTGTTATCATGTAGGCCTAAACACTTTTTCACCAAAACCAATTTTTATGGAAATATGACCGGTAAGCCATCATAGGCGCTTTTCCCCTTTATAGTTTTTTTAAAAAATATTAACGGAAAACTACTTTTTTTTTGCATTTTATTTTTTAACTTTTTTTTTTCTAGAGAAAATCACGTGTGTACATGCAAACCTAGAAGCGGTAGTTATACTTATGAGTGTGGTGGTGATTTAAGCACTTGTCCGAACCCATGTAAAGAATTTCAATGCAATAACGGAAGAGCCTGTGCATTACACTCCCAAACATGTGACTCTGACAATAATTGCGGAAATTGGCGAGATGAAATTGGTTGTAAAACAAAATACTCTGAAGATCAAATCAAAAATAACATGAAACTAAAATATGGAAACCAATGTAAGTTGATTTTACTAAATAACACACACTATTATAACAGGTGATTAAAAGTGAAAGACGAAAAGTGATTGTTATGGTAATCAGGTCATTAAAATCATTAGAAGGAAGTTGGTACGACGTTATAAATGACGTTATAAATAAAGTGGAAAAAAGTTTGTGTTGGTAACGTTACTGCAACGATGTAAAAATGAGTTGTAACAACGCTTAATTTTAGCTTGACGACGAAAAGGCGTTAGAGCAACGTTAAATTTTAGGGAGAAAGACGTTACAAATGCGTTCGGCAATTGTTATATTTAGACTTGTTTTATTGAGACAACGTCTTTTCTATCGTTGTTTAGACGTTGAAATAATGGCAGAAATGAGACATAGGTTTTAGATACGCCAAAACCGACGTTAGGCCAATTTTATTTTGACGACTTTGGTCAAACGTTACACACTGGGTCAGAAATGCCTCAAAACTGGACATTTGAAAAAAATGAAAAAAGGCGTTATGAAATATTTTTTGGTGGTAAAACATATTTTTAAAGATTTCACCTTTATTGTAGAAGAAAAAATCAAACAACATGCGCAAAAATTAATTGCTTCTATTTTAGCAATGAAAGACTGTTTCTAACAAAAAGAATCAGGAATTTTCTCTAAATCTTTGTGGACACCAGAAATTAAATCGTGCAAAGATATTTTTTTTTTCCACTTTAAGAAATAAGCTAACTTATAAAAATTTCCTCAAAACTGTAAAAAAAACTTTCCTAAAAGTAGCTCATAACTAAAAAATCTTTAAAATCACCAAAATTATTGAATACCTTCGAAAAAGTATTTCACAAAATTTTTGGAACAATATTCGAAGAATTAAATCAAATCCAAACACTCGTACTTTCACTGTTAATAAAGAGAAGACAAAAAAGAAATTGTAGGAAAATTAAAAAAAACCTTTAGTACTATTCTTAACACTCCCACGATTACCAATAACGATTACAAACACCGTCATAATCCACAACTCATAGATAAGCCTAATAAAATAATTGTATCAACTTCCGACATCAAAACTTGTATTTTTAAACTTAGATCTAATTGATCATACGATTTATGCGAAATTACAGTAGAACATTCTAAATACTCCTATAAAAACAACCAGCTTACATGGCGTTTAAAGTTTTTTAAAGTACCTATCAACATTCATAATTATTCCAATATAAAAATCCTTTAAAAATAAAAAAATCTCTTAATAATCCCAATAAGTATTGCGGAGTTAGTATTATGCCTATTTTGACAAAGCTCTTTAAATATATTATTATGGAAAAATACCTGAAAATATCAGATAGCCACTTTCATCACTTTGGCTTTAAGCACAATACTCCACTCATTATGCAGAGTTTCTTTTAAGTAAAACAATATAATATTACAATAATAATAACTCATCAATATATATTTGTAATTTAGATGCAAAAAAGGCTTTCGATAGCTGTAACTGGAAATTGTTTAAAAAACTTTATTACAACAAAAAATTACCGCTCTCAGTATACTGAGAGTGGTAACTTCAATAATGGAGCGGTGCGGTATAAATATTGTGATAATAATGCGCGAACTATAGTTTGCACACTACTATCACTATACTTATCGAGTACTGTTATTTTCCGTTATCTCAAGGCGTGCGTCAAGGATAAATTTTATTACCACATTTATATAATATATACACTCAAAGGATATTAAATCAAACTGTTTCAGATTGCAAAATTAGAACAACAGTATACATTGGTATTATTGTCTATGCTGACGATATAATCTTACAAAGTCCAACCTATTCTGGTCTACAAGAATCGGTTTATAAGGTTTAGTCACTATGCCGAAAGCTATATATTAAGGTGATTATCAGGTAAAAAAGTCACAAAAATCGCTATTTTTTCGCTATTATCAGGCAAAAAATTTACAAAAATCGCTATTTTTTTACCTTTATGTGGTTATCAGGTAAAAAAATCTGTTTTTTAGTTTATTAGACAACTTTGTGTAAAATTTAATTGGCTTTTTAACCATATATAACATGATATGGGTTTAATAATAAAAAAATGTAAAAAAATTAAAAAAACAAAACACCGAAAAAACAGAGTTATTATAATTGGTAAAAGTTCAATTACAAAAAACACAATATAAATATCGGCTGGACACGGAAAAATCCGATCAACCTTAAATTGAGATTTCTTTAAAACCATAAATGCTTTTTATTTCAATTTTTTTATTATTAAATGTGTTTACATAAATTAGATTTTCAACTTAATTTTAAGGGGCTTGATTGGTTGTTTGGCAAGAAATCGAACTTTATAGCGGGTTGATGCCATCATTTCACAGATTTTTTCTTTTTTCACCATATTGGTGGCATTAATCAACTTTTTTTGGAAGTCCTTTTTATTATTTGTTACTCCACCTGTCTTACGAAAAACTTCTTTAACTATTGCCCAAAAATCTTCAATCTTGCGCTCTTCAGGACGATTTGGAGGATTCGCATCTTTTAGGAACAATTTTCACATTATTATCTTTGCACCACTGTAGAACCTTTTTAGAATAGTGAAAGGCAGCAAGATCGGGCTAAAAGAGACATCGGTATTTGTGTTTATTTATTTATAATTATATTATTTATAAAAATATTATTTATAAAAGGCAAAAGTCTATTTTGGAGGCATTTTTTGATGTAGAGATTGGTAGTCAAGGTCTTTTTAGTGACAAAACAATAGGACTGCATACCACAGCTACAAACTGCTTGCCACACAAGGAATTTGGATGCAAATTTTTCTTGTCGAATATATTTAAATTGATTATCGACAGGTTTATCTTTGTTTTCATAGTAAAACTATTGACCAGGAAGTTGTGAAAAATCCGCCTTGCAATACGTTTCGTTGTCTTGAATTGGTTTGGATTTCTTGCTATTGATCGTAAAATCGACTTTACCTTTTTGGATTTATAGAAAGTTTTTTTTCTTCCACTTCCAAGTTTTATTTCGAAGCTTTGAGTAGTCTTGAACTTGTTTATAATATCTATGCCTGTAGATTTTGGGACATTTGAGCGTTTAGCAATCAAGCGATCGGAAGTCGATGGATTTTTGCAAAAAAAACTCACAACTTTTTTAATCGCCTCAATTTGTTTTTAAAACATTTTGCAAATCATTAATTTGTAAACAAAAACTTATCAACACCATTTAAGATAAGGAAGTAAGGTTTAATTAAAAAAAAATTAAATAAAAAGCATTTGTGGTTTTGGAGAAATCTCAATTTAAAGTTGACCGGATTTTTCCCTGTCCACCCAATAAAGGTCTTTTCCCTACACCTTGAACTTGATAGAGAAAAATATTCCAAGAAGAATTTAAATTAAACTTTAGAATGAAAGTATAAGCTATTACTTTTATACACTTTATTTGTTTTACCTGTACTTTGGGTGATAAAAATACTAAATAAATAAATAACTAAATAAAAGTGTCTCAGGTCCATTTTATCCACGTGTTTTTTTAAGGTTGGACTGACCTTTGTATACAAAATAATGTCAGAACTTCCTCAATTATAAAATTTGTAAATTTTTTTTTCATTTAAGTTTAATAGATTATTTAAATTAAATACTATTATTGTTAAATAATTCGAAAAATAAGTGAAACATTTTTTTAGGTAAAATGATGTCCATACTATATTTTTTCTCTGTTATTTTTTTAACTATGTTTATAACTTTTTTTAGTTTCTACACAATAAAAAAAGGTATAATATTCTACCTCAGGGTAAGATATGTGATATTCCCTTAGTAATGTGTAATTTATACCTTCTGAGGTAGAAAATTATTATAATAACAATAACATACAGTTTTCTACATTGAAAGAAAAATTTTCTAAAAAAAAATTACACCTTACAGTAGGCATATCATATATCCTACCCTAACGTAGATATTTATATCTTTTTTTAGTGTGTATACCATTTTAATCTACTGTGCTTCTAGATAACAGAAATTACGGAACTGTAGAAATATTTAATCGTCCGATATGCGATAATTACTGGACAAACCAAAACGCACAAGTTGTCTGCAGAAGCCTTAATTTTCCGTCTGGTACACTCGCAATAGGTTGGGGAAATGAGCAAGTTTCAACAAATTATTTTATGAATAACGTTACTTGTACCGGAGGAGAATTCAGTCTTAAACATTGCAACCATATTACACACCACAATTGTGGTCCATCTAAGGGGGCAGCTGTTATTTGCTTGGAGCCAAATTCATTAAACTTAATACCTTTTAAAAGAATATCTCTTCACATTTTAATTTTAAAATATGAAGGCATGGTCTATTTTGATAACATTCCCATGTGCGCCGATGGATGGAATTTTCAGGCAGCTCAGGTAGTTTGTAACCATCTCTATGGAGCCGAATTCAAAATGCCTGTCCCAGTTTACGACTACCAAAAAAATGTTGGGCTGAAATCAGCTCCTTTTTTTTTGACATCAGCTGTTTGTAGCGGACAAGAGAGTTTGTTGACACAATGTCAGTTAAGAGTTTCTGAATCATGCTCAACACACGTTGCAAGTGTTCAGTGCGCTCGATGTTCACCGTTTAAACTAATGGATATTGTAAAAAATATAAAAGTTGACGGCTCAATCGTTGAAGTTTACCAATCAGTGGAGGATGCAATTGGTGAACTCAACAGAGAGTGTCGAAATTGGAATTGCAGTATTCCTAATCCAGTTTATCCAGAGTTTTGTAAAGTTCAAGCATTTTTGAACAATATAAAACATTTTACGAAATCAGAAATGAAAAACAATATTATCTTGTATACTGACATTAACCACTTAGGACTTCTTAATTATAACTTTCTTAGGGGAAGCTTTGAAAATATACGAAATGATATTGATACTTTAGGTCAAACTTTCTCCACTCAGTTAGGAGAATACTTCAGCAGACTTGCTCGTTTTGACGAGCAGACTGCAAAATCAGATAAAGAAAACGCGATGAAAATTTGGTTTGAATCAAAATCTCGATGTGAAAGTGAGTCCTTAAAACTCTCAGATCAATTAAGTTCCATAATAAAATTTGCATTTGGTGTTTCAGCAAGTGATTTGGTTTCTAAATATTACACTCTTGCTCTACGTATAGCGGGAACCCTTAATCCTATAAAATGGTTAACTGGAAGTGAATCATCGGCAGTTGACATAAAAGAAGCTCTGAGTGAGGTGGCAAAACAAGCAGTGCTTATTAAACAAGTAGAATACCTTAACTCAAACTTTATTCCAAAGTTAGAAAAAATTGTAAAACAAATCTCTGTCAAAGTGAACAATAATAAAGACACTTTTGAAACTATTAGACAATTTATTGAAAAAATTGAGAAAAATAGTGAAATTACGAATGAGCAACTCATTAAATTTTCCGAACACGCAGATAAATATTTACCAGCAATTACTCAAAGTGATATTAGTGAATTTGGCGCTATTTTAAACCAAATGATTGGAAAGTTTTGTGAAGTAATTGAAAACCCTGATACTGAACTAGGAACCGTTCCAGCTGGTATTGCGGTGCATCGAGGATTATGTCCCAATGCTAAGGTGACTGCTCCAGTATTGATATCTTTGTATCAGGAAGTAATAACTCAAGAAGTAACAATAATGGAGAGCTTTTCTAAATTTGTAAGAGCTACAATTGCTAAAGATGCAGCAAACAAGCTTTCCACTTCGATAAAAGGTTCGTCTAGTAATCAGCTTTATAAATTTCTTACCAAATATGAAGCTCTTCATCTTATTAGGTATCATAAAATAATACTTATTAGAAATGCATGTAACTACTTGACATACATGAACCATGGCGTCGAAAAGCCCGTGTGCACAGATTTACTTGAAAATCCGAGTGGTGATCCAGGAATTTTGATTAATACTGTTCCAACTGCTATGTGTCAATGTCAAAACTGTTTTACCAAAAACGGCGAATTTTTGATCCCAGCAACTATGACTGGTGAAAATAATACTATTGATCTTTCAACTTTATACAATGCAGATGCAAAGTTTACAAAAGGGTTTGCATATTTAAATATTCCAAATAAAGATTGGCTTGTGGAAAACAAATGGATTTCTGAACATGAGCAAGGTCCATTCTTTTTAAAGAAGCTAAATATACATCTTCCTCCTGCTCTCAATTTTTCTCACGAAGTTATTATAAAGCTAACTTTATTGGATAATCAATTGCAAGGAAAATCATACATGTTTGAAGGTGGTCTTATAGTAAAAAACCAGTATACAGAAAACCAGTCCAAATGTTCCCAACTCAATCCGTACGCAATTAAATCTTGTAATAAAAAAGTCGGAACTTTTTGCTTAGATGTAGATGGTAAAATAAACGGCGAATTACTTCCTCGATTAGATGGTTCAAAATGGCGCGTAGAACTTCGCTCAAATCAAATTTTACCTAAAATTTTCTCCGAAACTAAGTTGTTTCTTCGTACATCAGCAGAGTTTTGCTTTCAAACTAAATTGCATAGCAAACCAATGTTTAGTCTTGACAAAAGTATTGACCGAAGAAACGTTGAACGTTGTTGCAATGAATATGGAATGTTTATAGATCAAATAGTACTAAAAAAGTCTCCACTCTTAAGTCCTTGTCAAGCTTGTCCTCAAGGATCCACACCACGACTTAGTGGTTATTTTTGCGAAAAATGTCCAGCTGGATATGAACCTAATAATTCCAAAAGTTTTGGTTGTACTCCATGTCCTAAGAACAAATTTAAAGCTCTCGCTGGTCAGCATGCTTGTGATAATTGTTTAGATGGTAAAACATCCTCTGAGGGAGCATTGTACTGTCTTTGAAAAATTGGTTAGTTTTCTGGATTATTTTGTCAACTAATTGCATGTTTAGATTTTGTTATTTTAGCATATTATGCTTAAAAAATTCATATATCCTATTAGTGTTTAAAAAATTCATATATCCTATAAAGAGTAATTTACTTTATATAAATATATAAAGTTTATATGAAGTAAATATATATAGTTATAGTTGTCATTCTATGTTTTTTTTTGTTTTTTTGCTTGCTCTTACCAATATATACAATTTTTTTATTTTGGTTTTTTAAATATTCTTTTTTCATTTGAATTCATGTTTTTTTTTTTTATTTCTAATGCTTTTTTTAACTTCATTTACAATAACAGGGAAGAGTTTAAAATGTTGATGTTTTTATCATTAAATGGTTTTTTTATCATTGTATATTTGTTTGAAAAAAATGAATTCTGACTGTATTTTGTATTTATTTTTTAATAATAATAATAATTAAGTTGATAAAAATACACGGCAACAAACGTTAAGAAGTAACGAACGCTAAGAGATAAGAAATGTTAAGAAGACACAACCCCATAGATAAAAAAAATCTTCAATATTGATAATTTAACAATTTTTACTACATATACAGTAAATATATAAAAACAAACTAAGAAAAAAATGATAAATTGAAAAAAAAATTGCGGTTTCTATGGGGCCAGTTTTTATAAGCGAAAAACTAGAAATTGCCAATTTTGTGGCAAAAATATTCCAAAATGGAAAAAATCGCATAGAATAACATTTTGCATTTAACCGGCTTGATGTTAGAGGCATGCAATGAACTTAAAAAACTACATAACTTACTTATTCTTTAAAACCGTGCTTCATTTTTCGTGCAATCATTTTATGTTGTGGAATGTTGTATCAAAAATCTAAATCTGTTAATAAAAATGAACAAAAGAATGTTGAAGGAATTATATTACCGAATGAACCGCTAACAAACTTTCAGTTAATAAAAGCAGCAAAAAAATTAAAAATAAAAAATTTTAGAGGTGTATTTGTAAGAGATAAATTACCTAAAAATACACAAAAAAAAGAATGTGGAATATTAAATACTGGAGATTCAAGTACGAATGGATTTCATTGGATTTGCTGGTATAAAGATGGAGATGAGAAATTAAATTTTGACTCTTATTCATTACCACCTCCAGTTGAACTTGTTCAATATTTACACAACCCTGTTTATTATAATAGTAGAAGAATTCAGTTTGGAGATACTTCATTTTGTGGAGTCTTGTGCATCTATGTTTTAAAAAAGCTAGATGAAGGAGTTGATATTGAGTTGGGTATAGAGCAATTATATTTTATGCAATCATTTTCTGTGCAATCATTTCTTTAAATGATGTAAAAGCTACACTAATTTTACACCCTATGGTGACTAAAAATGGCTATATTTTGTTTTTAACACATACTTTTAGATAATTTGAAGGTTCATTGCACAACTTGATACATATTCAAAAACTGTTCAAATATGATAAGTTTTGGTCTAATCGTTTTTGAAATATCGTAGCTACAGTCAAACAAAGTTAGTAAAATATTGATATCTCATAAAAAACATTAAAAAAATTAATTTTCAGAAATTCTATTTTCAATAACATTTATATTTATCTTGATCCTTTTTATCTATTAAATATTGGTCTATAGACTATGGTTAAACATCAGATGCAACTGTATTCATAAAAAACCAGTTTCATGAATTGATAACCCGTTCCAGTTCAACGCATACTGCATACCCTGTCATAAGCAAATCATTCAACAGCAAATGTCAAAACTTTTTGATCCAAATCTATCTTTAAAGTTATGAGTCGTTTAAACCACAAATTGTGCAATGCATTTCAGATTCAAAAACTAAATTACTGGGTTTGATTAAACCTTATTAAATGTTTACATGTGCACACTCTACGTTTAAACCATTTAAAATTTTATCAGAAACTGTTATGATGTTATCTTTATTTGTAACTCCAGTACTTTCAGTAAAACTTTCAGAACTTTCAGTAAAACTTTCAGAACTTTCAGTAAAACTGCAGAACTTTCAGTAAAACTGCAGAACTTTCAAGAAAATTGTAGAACTTTCAGTAAAACTTTCAAAATTTTCAGTAAACTTTCAGTAAAACTTTAAAAACTTTCAGAAATTTCAGTAAAACTTTTAGAACTTTCAATAAAACTGCAGAACATTCAGTAAAACTGCAGAACTTTCAGTAAAACTTTCAGAACTTTCAGTAAAACTTTCAGAACTTTAAGTAAAACAGCAGAACTTTTAGTAAATCTTTCAGAACATTCGGTAAAACTGCAGAACTTTCAATAAAACTTTCAAAACATTCATAAAAACTGCAGAACTTTCAGTAAAATTTTCAGAACTTTCAGTAAAACTAAAAAACTTTCATTAAAACTTTCAGAACATTAAGTAAAACAGCAGAACTTTTAGTAAATCTTTCAGAACATTCGGTAAAACTGCAGAACTTTCAATAAAACTTTCAAAACTTTCATAAAAACTGCAGAACTTTCAGTAAAATTTTCAGAACTTTCAGTAAAACTAAAAAACTTTCATTAAAACTTTCAGAACTTTCAGTAAAACTGCAGAACTTTCGGTAAAACAGCAGAACTTTCAGTAATACTGCATAACTTTCAGTAAAACTGAAGAACGTTCAGAAAAATTTTCAGAACTTTCAGTAAAACTGAACAAGTTTCACTAAAACTTTCAGAACATTCAGTAAAACTAAAGAACTTTTATTAAAACTTTCAGAATATTCAGTAAAACTGCAAAACTTTCAGTGAAACTGCAGAACCTTCAATAAAACTGCAGAAAATTCAGTAAAACTGCAGAACTTTCAGTAAAACTTTCAGAACTTTCAGAAAAATTTTCAGAAAAATCAGTAAAACCTTCAGAACATTGTGTTAAACTATCAGAACTTTCAGTAAAATTGCAGAACTTTTAGTAAAACTTTTAAGACTTTCAGTAAAGTATTCAGAACTTTAAGTAAAACGGCGGAACTTTTAGTAAATCTGTTAGAACTTTCATTAAAACTGCAGAACTTTCAGTAAAACTGCAAATCTTTCAGTAAAACTGCAGAACTTTTATTAAAACTGCAGAACTTTCAGTAAAATTTTCAGAAATTTTAGTAAAACTAAAAAACTTTCATTAAAACTTTCAGAATTTTCAGTAAAACCTTCAAAACATTCAGTATACTTTATTTAAAACTTTTAAAACTTTCTGAACTTTCAGTAAAATTTTCAGAACTTTCAGTAAAACTTTTAGAACTTTCAGTAAAACCTCCAGAACATTAAGTAAACTTTTCAGAACTTTAAATAAAAGGGCAGAACTTTCTATTAAACTTTTAGAACTTTTAATAAAACTGCAGCATGTTTAATGAAACTTTCAGAACTATTAGTAAAACTGCAGAACTTTCATTAAAACTGCAGAACTTTCAGTAAAACTGCAGAACTTTCAGTAAAATTGCAGAACTTTCAGTAAAACTTGAGAACTTTTATTAAAACTTTCGGAACTTTTAATAATACTTTTAGAACATTGAGTACACTTTAATTAAAACTTTCAAAACTTTCAGAACTTTCAGTAAAACTGCAGAGCTTTCAGTAAAACCGCAGAACTTTTAGTAAAACTGCAGAACTTTCTGTAAAACTGCAAAACTTTGATTAAAATTGCAGAACTTTCAGTAAAATTTTCAACACTTTTAATAAAACTGTAAAATTTTCATTAAAACTTACAGAACCTTCAGTAAAACCTTCAAAACATTTAGTAAACTTAAATTAAAACTTTCAAAAATTTCTCAACTTTCAGTAAAACTGCAAAACTTTCTGTAAAACTGCAGAACTTTCAGTAAAACTGCAGATTTTTCAGGAAAACTGCAGAACTTTCAGTAAAACTGCATAACTTTCAATAAAACCCTTAGAACAATATGTAAAACTTTTAAAACATTCAATAAAACATTCAGAAGTTTAAGTAAAATGTAAGAATTTTTAGTAGATCTTTCAGAACTCTCAGTAAAATAGCAGAACAATCAGGAAAAATTTCAGAACTTTCAGTAAAACTTTCAGAACTTAGAGTAAAACATTAAGAACATTATGTAAAACTTACAGAACTTTCAGTAAAATTGCAGAACTTTTAGTAAAACTTGCAGAACTTTTAGTAAACTGGAAGATTTTTTAGTAAATCTTTTAGAACTTTCAGAAAAACAACAGAACTTTCAGTAAAACTGCAGAGTTTTCAGTAAAAAAATCAGAACTTTTATTGAAACTTTCAAAACTTTCAGTAAAACTGCAGAACTTTCAGTAAAATTTTAAGAACTTTCAGTAAAACTAAAAAATCTCTTTAAAACTTTCAGAACTTTCAGTAAAACTGCAGAACTTTCGGTAAAACAGCATAACTTTTAGTAAAACTGCAAAACTTTCCGTAAAACTGTAAAACGTTCGTTAAAATTTTCAGAACTTTCAGTAAAACTGAAAAACTTTCATTAAAACTTTCAGAATATTCAGTAAAACTGCAAAACTTTCAGTGAAACTACAGAACTTTCATTAAAACTGCAGAACTTTCAGTAAAACTGCAGAACTTTCAGTAAAACTGCATAACTTTCATTCAAACTTTCAGAACTTTTAGTAAAACTTTCAGAAAACTCAGTAAAACCTTCAGAACATTATGTAAAACTTTCAGAACTTTCAGTAAAATTGCAAAACTTTCACTAAAAACTTTAAAACTTTAAGTAAAACTGCAAAACTTTCAGTAAAAATGCAAAAATTTTAGTAAAATTACAGAACTTTCTTCAAAACTGCAGAACTTTCAGTAAAATTTTCAGAACTTTTAATAAAACTGAAAATCTTTCATTAAAACTTTCAGAACTTTATGTTGAATCTTCAGAACATTAAGTAAACTTTTAGTAAAACTTTTAAAACTTTCAGAACTTTAACTAAAACTAAAGAACTTTCAGTGAAACTTTCAGAACTTTTAGTAAAACTGTTAGAACATTCAGTAAAATTTTCAGAACTTTCATTAAAATGGCAGAACTTTTAGTAAATATTTTAAAACTTTCAGAAAAACAGCAGAACTTTGAGTAAAACTGCAGAGTTTTCAGTAAAACTGCAGAACTTTTGGTTAAAAGAACTTTTATTAAAACTGCAGAATTTTCAATAAAATTTTCAGAACTTTTAGTAAAACTAAAAAACTTTCATTAAAACTTTCAGAACTTTCAGTAAAACCTTTAAAACATTCAGTACACTTTAAAAAAAACTTTCAAAATTTTCTAAATTTTCAGTGAAACTGCAAAACTTTCAGTAAAACTGCAAAACTTTCAGTAAAGCTGCAGATTTTTCAGTAAAACTGCAGAACTTTCAGTAAAACCCTCAGAACAGTATAAAAAACTTTAAGAACTTTCAATAAAACTTTCAGAACTTTAAGTAAAATGGAAGAATT